TATCAGGACAAGAAAAAACTATCTGCCAGAAAGGCACTGTCCCAGCCCAAAGCAGGTAGGATTTATCCCTTTCAGGAGATGCCTGCTTCTTTCATTGGGCTGAAAGCCAGGCTGCAAGGGCAGGATGCAGCGATCTGCAAGTTGCCTCCTAGGCCAAAAGGGGCAGGAGACACCTCACAATTTCATCAGCATTTCCACAACTCACGCCAGCAGGGCAACCACCATTTATTCTGTCTGATCTTTATCAGCGCTTTTGCTTCTGGTTTCAGTTTTTTCTCTTTTAACAGATTATTTGGCTACTTCCTCTGAGTAAGAAGCCGCAAGGGCTTCCTCCCCGGGCAGCGCGGCGAGCGCCCCGGCGCTCCTTTTACGGAGCCGTGCGCGGAACAGCAGCCGCAGCAGCAGACTTGAAAGGTAAACAGGGAAGATCAGAGGGGCCGCCCCGCAGACCTGCTGGTGCTGATTTATATTTCCTTATCGGTTATCTCCTTCCCTCTCCTCCCTAGCACACTGCTCATTCTCCCACGGTGATTCTCACGGGGAAACCTACGTGTTTTCGTTCTGCAATAATTTTGTTTCTATTCTCGAGTTCTGATTTTATTGCAGTATTCTCTTTGGGATACTGTAAATCTGCCAGGGCAGAAGTACTTTCCTGAACTCGTTCCCAACACCATGTAAATAAATCCCTGGCTCTGGGAAAATAAGCTCCCCAATGCTTTTCCCAGGAGCGCTCTGAACTGCCAGACATGCAGGGCCTCCCACGTGTGCAACAAGCAAGGGGGCTCCTTGGATCCCGTTGCCTTCCCAGCTCTCCGCTCAGCGTCCTTTCCTTCCAGGACGCCCAAAGCAGGAGGCTCCCCCAGGAGCGCAGACTCGCTGCCTTTGGGGCAGAACTTTTCAAAAATATTCTGTTCATTCAGAGCTTGTTAGACTGTAAAAGATGGTCATCGTCCTGCGTCCTGAAGGCTGTGGGACCTCTCTGAACTAACCTGATCTTCAGAAAACCATCCGATTTTGATTTACATTTCTAGCGAAGATCAGTCATCCACAGCAGAGGCCTTCACATGTCTCCAACGCTCAGTTGTTCCTGCTGTCAAATTAACTGAAATGCAGATTTCTGAGCCTGGATCTTCTGCGGTGTTAATGTGGCTGGGAAGCAACGATCTGTCCTCCTCGTTACTTCTCATTGCTCCACCTTAGCATCACCTACAAACCTTGTTTCTTATTCAAGTTCTGAGCACCGTTAAATAATTTGTTTCTCACAGGAAATGATATGAACATCATTATTTTTCCAAAAGAATTTATGGCAAGACTGATTTTTTAGAAACACGTTCTGATTAACATCACAAACCCTCCGACTATGCAAGCACTGCCAGGAGCTCCCTTATTTCAATATACATTCAATTTTAAATCTTCACACACTCGTTCAAGCCTGACCCACTGCAAAAGCCGCTTTTAACAGCTTTAGCAGTGGGAAGGAAAGTATTTTATCAACATCTGATAATAATTCTTCCATCTGGCTTTTCACTGAAAACAATATAGAAACATTTTTGAACACGTCTCACTTTTCTGTTATTTCCATTTTACACATCTTTCTTTGTAAAAACACAAAGGAAAAAAAAAACTATATTAGTCTCCTAAAGTTTCTGCCCCACAGGCCATTTTCCTTCTGTTACCAGTATTTTTCCTTGTCTGGTTTCTATTTTATATTCAATTCTTCCTTCACAGATTATATTCACCTCCTCACCTAAGACGTTGCCACTTGTTCATATTATCATTTAGGTAATGTAGAAATTTCATTTAGAAAATTCATCATTCAATTTTAATTTTCATTTAGAATTCTATCAAGCACCAGTTGAGCTTATTTCACTGGAAAGCAATTACTAAACAATATTTTTGTCCAACTGAGGTGAACCAGAATAATAATCTGATCAAACAAGCCACAAAATCTTAGCTGACCTCTCAGACTACTGAACGTTGGCCACTTTTTTTGCTGTTTAACTATATGTTATTATTTCAGCATTAAAAAGCAGTATTATTTCTTCTAAAGATGTTCAGTGTTGACTTTCTATAGCAGCTAACATTCAAAACAATCCTCCAGTTCCGTAAATCTTCTAATTTTCAGATTAGAATTAGGACACTGTGCAGTATTACAAACCCAACTTTTTGATAACTCATTCAGCAGTCCCAGTGTGAAAATATGGAATGCTGGAGAAGGATTGCAGTGGTTTTTACATTCAAGGCGAGTTACAATGGTGGTCACAAGGGAGATCTCACATTACTGAAAAGTACACATATTTTCTGGAAAATAAAAGTCTTTCAAAGAGAAAAAAAATAAGGAAAAAGCATCAGACATTTGAACAGCTGGAAGCATTTTTAGAACGACCAAGAAAGAGAAAAAAAATCATTTAAAATAATATTTCCTTTTCTGCAGTAAGCATCATAGTGGTGATATAATATGTTCTCAAGAGACTGAATCTTGTCTACTGTTCAGTCCTCAAAGGTATTTCATAAAACAAAAATCACTGCAGTCAACAGCTTTCTTCACTAAAAAAAGCTGTCACTGAGTTATATTTATTTTACTACCAGCCCTTGTCTTTCTCAAATGTCCCATGGGCTATGTCTCTGCAACTACAAGCTTAAATCCATTTTGCTGTGGTAAAATATGAGAATTTTTCCCCTTTCTTTTTCTATATCTGATTTTAGTACTAGGAAGAAGCTGTTTGATGCCACTCTGATAAAAAAGGACTGTTGCTTACAGAAGGATCAAAAGAGACAGTGAGTTAAGGAAGTAACAGCAGTCATGGGCATAAAGCAATGACTCGCATATATGTTTTGGCAAAGTGTATCTGAACTCTGGAAGCAATGTCACTTCAATTTCTTTCAAAGCAAAATCTGTGGGAGATCTCTTAAGTTTAAATACGCTGATTATTCCACCAACTAAGATGCTTTATTTTCTTTACAGTAATGCTCCAAGGCCCATGTCAGGATAAGGATTTCCTTTTGCTAAGTTCTTTTTGTCGTGGTGAGTCTTTCAACATGTGCCAAGTCCAGATTAGCGGTAGTTTGTTCCAGTACAGAAAACATGCAAAAAACAACAAAAGCCTCCTTTGCCAACATCCTTTTGACACATATTTCTATTATTCTATAAGAGGCTGTCAACTTTATCCTCATGAGTTATTGTATCCTTCTGAGAACTTTCCGTCTTCACAGTATCTTTACTTACAGACAAATTTAAGCCTTTTTTTTTTTAATTTTGTAGCAAAATACCCACCTACTTTGTTGAGAGAAGCCATTATCTTTCTTTTTAGTGACCAACTGCAGACAAAATGTAGTCAAATATCAAGCAGAAGAAAGCTGCTTGTGGTACATGCCTAAAAATCTGCCTGCTATTTTTCCCTGAAACACATTTCATATCTAAAAAAGGGCTCAAATCAGTTCTGATAAAACAACAGGACTATTCACACAAGACAAATTCCCTGAACAGTTACCATGCATAACCAAAGTGAGAGGGTAGGGTAGGTACCAAATGAAACCTGATAGCACAAATCCTGTTAAAAAGCAAGTTACTATCCAGAAAACAAGAATAAATTCATGGCTCTACCCTTTTTTGCCCTCTTCAATTGTCCTTCACTTAACTCCCTGCTATCCCACTCCATCAGCTCTCTCCTTTACTGATCCCTTTGCACACATCAAACATTTTTTTTTGGGTCAAGAACCTCCACTTTTGCTTCTCTTCCAGCCATTTGCCTTCATTTCTCAGCCTTCTCTTCCATCCGTTGGTTCTTCAGTTGCAGGGTCACACTTGCACCACACTTAACCCAAGCAGGGCACTCATTGCAACAATCTACAGGAGATCTTTTATACAGGAGGCCTCTTCCCTAGAGAAAAGCTGATCACATTTTTTTTCAAGAACACTCAAAGAGCATTTCATTACTTCAAGATAAAAAGAATCCCTCAGTAATCATGTCTTCTTTGGTTATCACCCACCATGCTTGCAACCTTCAACTGTTCCCAGAGGAACATCTTTGTTCTGAATGACTTCTTTGCTCCCTGATCGTGCCCTTCTGTACCTTAAAAACACCCTGAAAGGAAGTTTGCTGTGAATAAAGATACAGGAAACAGACACAGGCTGTATCTAAATAAGCAAAGTTTGCCAACTTATTTCCACAGTGATTGTTCTCTGCAACAGAACCCTCAAAGTGCCCCTAAGCCCATGCCCACCAAAGCCTGAGAGGTTTCACGAGTGCACCACTTCCCTCGTGGAAATGCAGGGAAACTAAAGACCTGCTACCCAATAAAACAAACACTCTGGATAACAGATAATGCCAGCTCCAAACGCCAGATAACGCCAGGCCAAAACAGCCAGCTCAACAGGAGAACACTTCTCACTAAACGCAGGCTCTATCTATACCTGATATAGGACTGCTGATAGGGAGAAAGGTCTGTAGAAGATGATCCTAGAAGCTAAAATCTTAGGCCTGTTGGATATTTTAAAAAAAATTCAACGGCAATACCATTTTATGACACCTTACCAACTCTATTCTCCCTCCCAAGCTTTCTGTGCTCCTGACAGGATGTCCACTCTGAATCTGAAAAGCTTTGTCTAACAAAAAGTATTATCTTTCCTTTTGCCACACATGTATCCACACACTAGATCATCACAGCTGCAAAAGGCATGACTAATTTACATTGGGAAAAATATATGGGGAAATCATTGCAAAGTGGTTTTTTTTTCTCCATATCCTCATGTATCTGTATGAATCACCTAAGCTCATATACTACTTTTACTTTTTCATTCCTACCTTCTTTCTATTTTCCTCCTCTGTAGGAAACACTTTGCTTTTCTGAAATTGCAACTCCTGCAAGGATTAGGTTTAAACACATTTAGCAGAATATTCATGTAGGGCACGTGAGAATGGACTGTGCAAAGAATTCTTGGTCATGATCAAATGATCAAGCTCAAATTTATAAACAGTACATGTCACCGTATTTGTTCTCTAGTATTCTATGCTTAAATCCATGTGAAACTGAAAGTCATCATTCTTCGGAATGCAACCAGGTGTTCTACTAAAATTATTTATTATTATTCTACCATCATGAATGTTCAAACACTTGCAAGTGTTCACCAAGAAAAAAACCCATAACAACACTGTATCTGCAATTATTAAGATGTATGCAACCCTCAATAAAAACATTCACTTCCATTCCATTTTTTTCATGAGTCCATGATAAATGTTTCAAAGTCCTGGTCTAAGTCAGAAACAAGGGCATCCACAAAGTCTTCAACTGAAGGAGATTTCTGAAGCATACCTACAGAAAACAAGAAAAAAAACAAAAGATTCTAAGCAAGAACACCATTAGCTAAAAAGTTTTGCTAACAATAAATCTTACTAATTTTTAATATTATGGTTCATATGACAGCAACAGCTACTATATTTCCTTGGCAAGAAATAAATGCAATTCTACCATGTAAAGAATATTTATTTTTTTCTAGCCATTCATTACACATCAGCTCAAAATTGACAGGTTTCATGCTTGTGAACAGATCTTTATCCTTGCAGTATTGCTTAGGCTGGGAATTACGTCCATTTTAAAGTAATGTAACCAAGAGAGGACAGACTCAGTCATTTCCAAATAATTGGAAAAAAAAAATCAATGATTGAGCAGGGATTTAAGTCCTTATCTGCTAAGTCTCGGGCCTGACAGAGCCAGACAAAACAACACACTGCAGCCAGAGCCGAAAAAAACACGCAAAGTGTTACCTAAAAATGTATTTTCTATACGCTGCAGTTTTAGATTTGTTTTTGTTACAGGACAAGGTCTAGTGTTTTTAAAAGACCCATAATTTCTATGTATGTTAGTTGTATCACATAGATACAGGATAACAGACAGGTAAATCAAAATAATAAAGAATGAGGCTCACATATTATGTCATGTGCTTCTATAAGAAGACAAACCAAGTCTCACTTCCTCCTCCTCCAAAACACAACTTCTCTTGAAAGTATGAGAATATAATCTGGAAATTACTTTCAGATTTTTTTGGACTGAACATTACATTACTGTTGGTCTTTTCACTGGAACTAATATTTTCATGATTATACAAAGAAAGATTTAGTGCTTTGCTTGTATGAGAAAAAAACTACAGTTGCCAAATAATGTAGAATTTAATCTTTGTACTTCTTTGAAGTGATCTGTTCTTTCTGACAACTGCCAATGTAAATATAACCCCATTCTACCCTTTCTAATAGGCACACCTACTACACATGATTTTATATTCTTTCACATCCTCAACAATATTTGTTCTCAGTGAAACTTATAATTGTACTCTTCTGAAAAACAGAATCTCCTACTATAACACAATGATTCAAAAAAAAAATGGGGTAATTTTGTGTGAACAGCTAGAAGAGTTTCTTGCTAAGACCCCCATTTTCATCTGAGCTAAACATATGTTCAAATTGCCTTGACACAGATTAATATTAAAGATTGAAAGGAAAATAAACCTCATATTATATATAGGTTGGCTGAAATGCTGTGTTAAGTGAAGCCCGCATTAAGTTATTTTCAAAATGAAAGAGAATAGAGTACTTAAACTACTTGGCAGACTTGTGATGTATTCTTAGTAAATCTGGAGTGGAATTCCTTCTAATCCTCAATGAAAAATGGCCGGCCACACGCAGGGCTGAGGATCAGACGCGTCCTGACGCCACCCCCTAACAAGACCCACGAGCTGTCCAAGTCTGGCTCTCCCAACAACCCGCTCGTTCCTGGCTGCTTCGGCTGCAGTTTTCCAAGAAATGGAGACAGTCCTTGAAGAAGGGGACCGTGGTGGCAGCTCTCTGGAAGACGCTGCTGTCAGGCATGGCCACCGGAGCTTTGCTTTTTGCCTGACAAGGAGCAGGCGAGTCGCAGCAGGGCAATTCTTTCTGCCCTTCCTTAGTCACTCACAACAGACTTCACATCTGAACTAACTGGCTCTGTTTCCGGAGGTTGGACACAAGGAGGAGCTTTCACGGGTCTAGTTTATCACGAGATGGCCTGCGCCTAAGTAGTGTTTGTTTTCCCCCATAGCCCTGACAGGAAGCCTAGATGACTAGCTCAGGTTTGCACAGCCAAAGTTAGGTGAAATAATCTCTTCCCATTAATCTGTACAGTGTGGCTCCATAAAGATAGCAAATATCCCTTTTTCTATCATTTATCAACAGGGATGGATGACTATATTTCTGTCAAGACAGTGTTTTCACTAACGTATAAAATCAGCTATGATAGAAAACAAAGGAAACCCAAAAGATATATATGTATATATAAAATCCTTCCCAATACTGAATTTATAAAAATCAGCCCGTCCAGAAAATGTTAATTTGATTCTAATGACACTCTAAATTATATTTTGCTGCAGACAATTCTTAAAAGCGTGACTATCAGTGTGCTGCAAAAGAAGAAAAGCTAACAGTACAATAATTAATTTGTGGGTGGGAGGAAGAGAACAGACTGATCCTCAGATTATCTTTAATTAGATTTAATTTCCCTCTTGAATAGAAATGGCAAATTATCATAAGGAAAATTCAATCCCTGGATATTACAAAATGAATAAAGGAAACATAAGCAACTGTTATATACTTTGATTCACTTTAGAGAAGCTGAGTATAGTCTTACCACATCTCACTCAAACTTGCCATAAATTGCATTTACTTAGATTTCATATGATTTATTTCAAATACTACATATTATTTCAAATATGCAAGAGAATTGAAAATCTTCCCTGCAATAGTGATGTGAAATGCCCCCCTACCGAATAGTTCCAAGTTTTGATAACAGATTTCAGATTTCTTGCCTTAGAAAGCTGCTTTCTAATGCACTGTCATTTCCTCTGTCCCAAGGAGAAATAAGCAGATGCTGCCTTTGAAAGAATACCTGCTGTCACCCCTGGAGCAGTACTGCAATAAAAAAGCATGTTCTTATGAAAGAAATAACTACAGATTTTAGATGACTCCAAAAGAGACAGTGAACAACGCGATTTCCGTATTTTAACCCATTACTGTAATCAGCCACGTTAAGAATAGTCATGTCTCTCTTCAGAATCCACTACAATATATCAAGGTGGGATCAGTATGTACTCAGCACTTCAGTCTGAATGATTTAGTGAGATGTTCACGATGTTTGATGGTTGCAGTTTTAAAATCTAGGAGTGTATTTGATATGTTCAGCCCAACTCTATTTCAGATCAGTCCCTCCCAAGCCTAAGGCAACTGCATAGTTTATCTTCTCTGCTTTGAAGTTCTCTCTCACATTACAGCACTGTGGTTAACCACACCCTGTGAGAGCTGGTTAGCTGTAACCTACAATCACTGGAAAATGAGAGAAGAATAAAGCCTGTGGCAAAATTTGGCCTCTGCCCCTTTGGAACACTAATTATTTTGGGTTTGTGTAGTTTGAGTTAACATATATTGCCATTCACATCACCTTTTAGGACTTACGCATGTTTCTTACACTTTCAGAGAGACACACAACCATTATCTGAATATCTTTACAGCTCCTTCACATCCTAATTATTCCACCAAGTGCACTTTAGGCAAGGAAAAACAAATCTTCCAAACGCATCTGAGCAAATGCCTACTTACATATCCAGTTGGTTGGATTACCATGAACGCACCCAACTGAATATGACTGCAGCATTAATGAATCAAAACCCCAATTGCACGTGCATTTTGCACTTGGGTTTCTGCAATCTCTTATCTAGAGGGCAGTCTCTAGAGACTGGATCAGAGCTGCAGGACACGTGTGCTCCGGGATGCGCTCTCAGTGCCCACATCATCCAGCCTGGCTCCTTGCTACCCTGCAGTTCACTTCGCACCCTCCCGTGGACCTGGGTTTCCTCCCAGTACAGGAGAGCCAAGCAGGAGGCATGGGTCACACGTGGATCTTGTTCTGACCTGTCACGTGCAGCTGGACCTGGAAGGGACACCTGGGTTACCTGCTCTTAAGGGGGTTTCGAATTCCTAACTCCTTGTGCAGGAGGTGGTCCGAGAGCACCACGTGGCCATCCCACAACGACAGGGATATCAGGTGCATGCCAAGCTCTTTTCTCTCTTAGAAACAACAAATGGAAACTTCTTGGACTAAGCACTATCCACTCATTATTTTATTGGTAGTTCTATTGTGATTGTGACTATTTTTGAATTTTGTAAGTTACGAAAGGGGTAAGATAAAAAGGTCACTTAAAAAAAAATTAAATGGTGTCATTTTTTTTTTTAATGGAGAAAAAACCCCAAGAGAATCAAATCCAAACAAAAGAATGTACACTGTGCTTTCCAGTCAAAGACTAGTCCAAGCAGGAACCTTGTCACTGACTCCACTGCAAGGCAGGTCAGATCTTTTATCTTTCCTAATCAGCAAATCTAAGGAATCATGTGGGAACAAGATGAAAAGCTAGGGTCACATCCAAACACAAAAGAAAGACAATAGGTAGCTTCTGAGAAGAAAATCATGACAAAGAAACTGAGTAAGTTGAATGTGCTTGTGAACTTATCTTTTTACAAACAGTCAATGAATGTGGCTAACTTCATGATGAGATATGGAAGCTCTTGAAAGATGAGGTTAATACATATATCCGGAAGTCAGACTTGTAGAAGCACATTTCTTAATAAAGAAAATTCCTAAAACAACAGCCTACAGAATGTAAGGTTTTGGGAATATGGCACTTACTGCCACAGACTCTCAGCTTTTTCCCTGAAGAAGACAAGCTTTAAAGTCTGGTGAAATCTGTCTGTAGTGACAGATGGTGATCTGCTTGGTGATCTGCAGTGGGAGCATGGCTTGTAACTGATGAAAACAAACCACAGATAGAATTCAGGTACTGTGGAATACCCTTAGTGAAGAAGGAAAACTGAAGCAAGAAAAATAAGCTGAGCAAAACAGTAACCTAAAAAATTAAAGGAGGAATAACTGCCTTTTTTTCCTGCTTAAGTTCTTGATTTTTGTAGTAAATGTGGAGTGATACAGTATAAATATATAATAAGGTTTTACATCATATGTGTCAATGATTTGATCACAAATAATCCAAAGTAAACAACTGAATTATTAAATGTCAAGGATCTGAGTCACTTGAATCTCATTTTTCATGGTCAATCACTCCAGTATGTTTGTGCTGCATTTTGCACTGTCTACAAGATCAGCAAAGCAGATCCAGAAAGGCATTTTTTCTAATAATTTTTATGATCTTTAATATCTTTTTGAATTTCTTTTTGAAATCATATTAAGGAAATTCAGAATATAAAAGTGAAAACAGCTTGTAAACTTCTGCTGCCTTCTGTAGTTGGATAGTCTATATTCTTATCACATGTATCACTCACGCTGATGGTGATGGGGGAGTTACTGCCACCTGGTTCTCCTCTCATGCAAAGAGGCGAGGAGGTGCACTACAGTTACCAACCTCCAAGGGACACACAGTTCTGTTTCATGACTTAAGAATTTATTTCATTCAATTATTTAACGAAAAAAATAATCAAACTAGTCGCTTATGTACACGGCTGTTCTGGTCACACCATAAGAGATCCTACTATTTTACAATTAACACCGTACTTGGCTTTAACACAGCTTGCTCTCTTCTTCAAGCTGTACTACCACATAAATTGTGGACTAAGAGGATCACAGAATCACAGAATGCTTCAGGCTGGATGGGGCCTCTAGAGATCATCTAGTCCAACCCCCCTGCACACGCAGGGACACCTAGAGCACGTGGCACAGGGTGGCGTCCAGGCGGGTTTGGAAGATCTCCAGAGAAGGAGACTCCACAACCTCTCTGGGCAACCTGTTCCAGCACTGTCACCCTCACTGTTAAGAAATTGTTCCTTAAGTTCCTGTGGAACTTTTGATGCTTCAGTTTCCAGCCATTTCCTCTAGTAAGGAGAACAATAATAAGGAGAACAAATACTGAAATGCCTAAAACATCTGATTACTGCATTGCAAGACACAGTCAAACATCTTTGTGTGCTTTCACTGTATCTTTTTATACTTTAACATATTTCATTTCATATCCTTTTCGTACTTCTGTTAAGTTTATAAAAAACTTCCATTAAATTTAAAATAATTTCCTGGATGTTACTTTTCTCAATAAATTCCAATAATAAGTCTTATCCAAAATTATGGATGCATATTCTCAAGTCCCATTTGATTACAGTTCTATTTTGTTATTTTGCAGCCAAGAGAAAAGCCACGCATAGTTTCATGGATCTGATACAACTTCACCCTCAGATGAATTTTGCAAATACTATTCAAATAATATTTGATTCAGGTAAGTTCTCATACTATAACTTCAGCATAACCTCTTGGGCATTCCAGTAAGACTCAATGCTCACCGAATTAAAAATAGATCCCAGAAATAAAAGACGATGAACATAATTGGTGTTCAAAAACATTCTTTCTTCCTCTATCATATGTACTTACAATATAACTGGCTTTGCTTGTAAAGGTTTATGTACCTTTCTTGCAATTCCTGAAACCATAACCTTGGGCTGCAGCTTTTGAAGTTAGGTTACAAACACAGATTCTTCAGGAGTAGGACAAAAAAGGTAAATTTAAATTTGAAAAGTCATGCTGAAGGAAAAGTTGACCCATATATTAGACATAAAAACAGGCTAACCTAGCCACTGTATGACAATCCAGTCACTATCTGACTGTCTAGGCACTATATATATTCTAAGCAGAGACGGCCTCAAATACAAACTGATGAGTCGAAGAACTGAATGATCTAGTTATGAAACTGAGAGGAGCTCACGATGGAATACAGACACATCATTCTCCTGACCTACCTTTTTAATATATGAGGAATAGTATTTTTAATGCTATGAGCAATTAAAAAAAAGCTTTTTTTTCCAGATTCAAAGGATAAGAAGGAATAATGAACCATGTTTCTTTATTAGATTCTTCAGTCTCCCACTTCCTCAGAATGTGTGTTCAAAGTACTGATATAACACAAGCTATGATGTCAAAATGACATGTCCAAAAAAAAAAAAAAAATCAAATGTTTCCATACAAAATAAATGCATCTATTATCAATTTTATGCATGTAAAAGTTATTATTATTATTATTATTATTTTTACATCTATGCTGGGCCATCTATTCTCCTTCAGATATGTAACACGCTTCTTTTGAATTCTCTAGAATGCTTTATAACACAACCCTTTCCAAAACTTCACCACTCCATGAATCACAAAGACTCTTACCAACATGCAAAACAAAGCTCTTAACCTTTAATTAAATAAATCAGCATGCTTTCTTGCATAAATCCTATGAAAATCATGATTAATTTAGAAGTCCGAATTGGAAAATACACTTAAATAAAGGAAATTAAACAGCCCTATATTTTCTACCTTGAACCATAAGAATAGGCTCTTTTCCACCGCCGTGTGCCAGCATCTCTCTGCGATAACGCTCCCCCATTGCCCTGGAGAAACACAGATGCTAGAGTCAATCACAAGCAAAACCATCAACTTGCAGTTATATTTGCTTCTAGGCTCTCTACAGAACTCAAGAGGCAGAGAGGGAAGGAAACCTTCCACCCTGACACAAAGATTGCCTTGATTCCATGTCAACTCCTCAAATTCAGATGACATTCAAAATTATACCATGATTCACTGAAATAGATACATTTTATACAGATGTTTTGGTATACATGGAAGTTAAATTGCAAACAACATTTTAGCCTTCATTGCTCTAAGAGGAAAGGTTACTCTGTTACAATGTTCAGAATACTCAGATAAGGTTTCAATTTTTGATCTCACAAAGTCCTTCCTATTTTCACAAAACAAAATGATTATGATACCTATATGTAACTTGGAAGCTGGTGACATTAAGCTTGTTTAATACTTGCAGTTGCTTTTGATTGCCACAGAAAATTACAAATAATTAAGCACTACTGAAAAACAAGCTCCTTAATTATGTATAAATTTGGATTTCAGTGCTTCTCTACTGTATTTTAAAACATTGACATGAATTCTTTTTATCAATGAGCATGTTCCAAACTCTACTTTATATTTGTGGCAATGTTTTGTTTTGTTAAAGTCTTAAAATTATGTCATTCAAAAAAAAAATCCTACTTTGGCCCAGGTATAACATTTGTTTCCTATTTCCTGAAGCAAGTACCATGCCATTTCATCCTACTTAATTTATTATCTATTTTTACCTATCAAATGGGTCTTGAGCAAAACACTGTTTCCACACCATAGAGGCAACAGCCCTAGACATGAGGTAGGAGTAGTATTTTGCACCGTAGCCCACCAGATGGCTGAATCTCAGCTGCCAGGCCTGCAAGGAGAAAATAAACAAAAACCAGAAAAGAGGTCACATCTTTTAGGGCCTTCAAACTGTTCTGCATCTTCTAAAGCAGGATGGAAGAAATCTGATTTTATTAATAAGAAACGATCAAAAAAAAACAAACAAAGAACACAAATTCCAGAATGAGCACATCTTTATTGTAAAATGCATTTTTCTAACTAAATACTGTATATCCACTATACTGATAATTGAAATTACAAATAAATAGGTTCAGAAGGAGAGAAAGTCAGTAGAGAATGTAGTCATATTTAATAACTATATTTTTCTGCTGCTGCTGAAAGAAAGCCACAATTAACGTATAACAAGTAACACTATACTTTGTTTTCCATGTGGATAATCGCGGTGGAAACATTCAGTCCATGCTTCTCACAAACAAAATGTCTGTGAGATGTAACAGCGACTTGGTATCATATAAAACACAGCTGCCCATACACCACGGACAGGTAGATGATTTACATTCACATGCAGTGTCATTGTTCACAGTTTTGTTTGCACATTTCAAAATTTATATACATAGCAATTACCATTTGTAATTATGTTATTCTTTTATGAAAAGTTACTTGGCTTTATGACTCATTTCAGTGCTGGTGGACTCCTTTTCTGAATGATGTTTGCCGTTCACTGTTTTCTTTTCAGCAGGGAAAATTGAAATACATGCCTTACTTTCACAAAAATGAAACAAGCTTTTTTTCTTCTCTGACTGCAACAAAGTAATTTAGGTGGTAAGGAACCTCTGAACGTTATCTATCCCAACTCACGCTCAAAGAGGAGTCAACTTGAAACAGGTTGCTCAGGACCCTGTGCAGTAAAGCTATAGCATCTCCAAGAACTAAGATTTAAGTACCTCTCTGATAGAACATAGAAGGGGAGTGGATCTAAACTGAAAATATAACTTTTCTCTACAGATTTATATATATAAATTAAATAAGCTTTGAAATGAAGGTGGATGAATCTACAGGAGAAAGCATGGGAAACTTATTCTGCCCTATTGGCTCTGAGTAAATGAGGGAGGCATCAAGCCAGGGATCTTGAATATTCTCCAAAGTCAAAGATCTTAATATTCCAGTAATACGACTGTTGTCAAGATTTTTGTAGGTACTGCAGACTATAATTTTAAAGAGGAACTGGAAGACAGACAATAAAGTAACTTAACAGATGCTTTAAACTTAAATCCACATGTTATCAGATACTTGTTTCCTTATCTTAAACCTGATGGCTGAAACGTGGAAGCAGACAAATAGAAGAGTGAGAGGGTATGAGCAGTTTTCCAGAACTATTCATCTTCTATACACACCAAGTAACATTCTCCTCATTTTTGAAAGTTCAAATAAACTATGTTTCTTCATTTGAGAAAGTGCTGATCATTCATCCAAGGAAGTGCGGGCCAGTGCAGTGGACTGAGGACTGGCAGGATGGCAGAGCCCAGAGGGTGGTGATAGATGAGGCCTGTGGCCAGTGGTGTCCCGCGGGGGTCAGTACTGGGCCTGGGCCAAGTTGCTGATCAGGAATTCCTAATTCCTTCATCCTATATCTTCAATATTCCACCATTACCCAAGTGTTTTCCAACTCTATGCTGTTCTAGCAATTATTTTGCGAAACAGGAGTTTGCTCCCTGCAAACAAACACTTAAACATTAAGATGCATCATCTTAATTCAAAAGAAGTTCCCTTCTTCCATTATGAAGCTGATCCTACTTTATACAGATAAGATTATTATATAGACAATAAAAAAGTCCCAAGGACCAAATATACAGACCCAAGGCTTACAGCCCCACAAGAAGTTCTATAATCAATCCACATCCTACATCAAATAATTATAAAACTATTTCAAACTAAACAGTTTGCTTTTCAGCATAAAATTCTATTTTAATAAAACTATCTGTAGAAGCAAACTATCTTCATTTTTTAAGCGTTTTATTTCCATTACGGACTGATCTCTTCATATCCAGAAAAAAAAAAATCTGACATTTCAGTTTCCTCTTTGGAAAGGGTAGACACTAGACCATGTTCAACTACAGCACTCTCCTTAATAAAGATCTTTTTTGGTAAGCAGCTATAAAGTTAATGAAGACTCTGAGTAATCACCTACTTCAAAAAGTTCCATGAACCAATTCCAGGAGTTTATAAAACAGTATATTTTACAGCATCGCCCATGGGTTATAAGCCATCCGCAGGTCATGTTCATACCTGTTTTTTTTATACAGCACAACACAACAGAGTGAAATAAAGGTGTGTACCTGATCCACCACAGGTATTACAGGGGCCTTTTTTTTCCATCAACATTATCAATCTTCCCTTACAACTATGCCTGGAATATTTCCAAAATTCTATGTGCATTGCCTTTCCATCCTTTCCAATAGCAAACAAATACAACTCACTACTGTGTTTGTATTATTTATCTTCTCAGGAATTTTAATAAAGTACTTGTAGGTTACATTCTTAGCAAAGAATTCAGTTCATTTCACTTTAGCTACCAAAAAAAGGTGCCTTGTTCAAACTAGTCTTGTAAGCATCCTCCATAGTGAAGGGACAGAAGATTCACCTTGCTTATCTTTACAGAGAACAAGACTACTGCCCTAGGATAAATTAAAATAATTTACTACAAGTCTTCTCTGTTATTTAAAAGTTAAGCCATTTTATGCGTTTTAATGAATGAAATAAAATCATTCTTTAATGAATGGAATCCAGTACGGCAGGATCAGTGAAACTAGAATGGTTTGAAGACAAACTTTAACAAAGGATTCAATTATCTGAATTCTGGAAATAAAAGTATTAAGATTATTACAAAAATCAACACAAATTTAGACATGGTCTTATAAAGACTAAAGAAAGAAAAAAATCCCTCTAGGACAGTGTTAGGTAACTTACTACATACTAACCTGGTTTTTATTCGATTGTAGGTAATCACTGCTCCATGGAATTCCACTAATTACACAGAATTAGTCCTAGAAATCCCACTACATCCTTTAAGAAGGAAAAGAAAGAAACTATAGAAAAGTGTGCAAAAACTACTCAAGTATTTCTGGCATGAAGACTTTTCAAAATGCTCTTCAAAACTCCATGCTTTGACTTAGTCTCCATTAATCGCTAGCTATTTAGAAGTATATTTAAGTGTCTCCATTTTGCTTTGCATCTTAAGACAAAAATCACAAGTGAGAACCTGAAAAGATCCAACACTAAATTAAGAAAAGTATTTACATCATTTAAGTCTTCTAATTACAAAATGTGTGCTGCAGCAATTACTCCACTGAGCAAGCTGTTGAACAGTTTCCATGAGGAAGAATATTTGATGGAGATGATATCTGGTGTCCCAGCCTTCCCCCTTCTTAATTAAATTCTTATCCTGGCAGGAAATCCAATGGAGAAGCAGCCAGTTTATCTCCTTCAGGGGATACTGGGTGGAGAACTCCATGGTCTGGCACCAATTTGACAGTGGTGCTCCTAAGGCCCTTGAATTTGGCTATCAACATGAGTCCGAAACTCCTTGAGAGTCATGAAGAAGCTCCTGGCTCAGGTAACTGGGGAGCTTGAAGGGAAGGACCCAACTAGCAGGGCAATCTGTACAGGCTGTTCACCTCTGCTGAAGAGCAAGGTATCTTTAGCACAAAACTTGAGGACAATATTGCTTCCAGCACACAAATAAACATGTTCTAAGTTAGCACTGGCAGCATTTTTGTGGCTCTGTGTCAGTCACATAGCCAGTTGGAGGTGGAACACAAAGAGCTGGAACTTACAGATCTAGGGCTCTGAGGTCACTTTTCAACATAGAAAAATGAGAAATTTCTTGCATTGTGCAGATCTGACCAGATGCTATTTTGCCTAGTGAATTTCCTGTTTCACTGTCGTAGCTGGGAGGGCATTCAAATATTGGAAAGGAAAAGTAGTGTTTCTTTTTCACTCTGGCCACCAGGAAAACTAGTCCCACTTTTTCCCTTTGACTTCTCTCTGCATGTTCATATCCTTCATACCCTTCATATATCCTATCCAGAGGATAGTTCAGTATCACTTCTCTCCAGTTCCATGGAAGATAGTCAAGATGTTTCACTGCATGGAACAACAACATCAAGT